CATCTCTCTTCTATTCTTTTCTTTGCTCTTCCCATTAACAATGCAATCCTTTTGTCTCTCCTCTCTCCTTCTCTCTCCCTTCTCTTCTCCTGTTCCCCTTTAAATGACAAAAACGCAAGAAAGGAAGAACAAGAGGGGAATGGAGGCCATGTTCCTTTCTTTTCCAATGGATGGGGAAAGTGAGCGGGGTTGGCTCCTTGTCCGTAGACCCTCCCCACGCTGCAGCAAATCCCTCCTCTCGCCCTATCGCCTCTGTTCTTTTCCTTGTTCCCAAACGGAAAAAGAAAATGGGTTCCTTTACATGTTCATTGTTCTTCCTTTTGTTTTCTATTTAAAAGGGAAAGATAAGAAAGAGAGGAAAGAAGAAAACGAGCACCATCCTCTCTTTGCCTGATTTTGCACCTCCCTCTCCTGTCTTCATTTCTCTTCCATGACTTTCATTGCTCTTCCCATGAAAATTGTTTCCTTTTGATCTCTCCTCTCTCCTTTCTCTCTCCCTTCTCTTCTCTTGTTCTCTTTTGAATCTCAATTTTCCTTATTGAATTAAAAAGAAAAAGAAGAAAAGAGATAGGTAAAGACACTGAAGAGCTCCACTGCCTATTGTTTCATTCCCTTTCCTCTCTTTCTATGTGTTGTTTTCCTTGTCGTTTCAGAAAGCTAGCAAAATAAGGGCAAGGGGGCTTCCTGAAGAGGAGAGAGGGCACCTATTTTTTAATTATAGAGGGAAAAGCGAGAGACAAGGAAGGGACAGATGATAGATAAAGAAGAGTGCTATCCGTCTCCTTGTTTATTGTGTCTTCTCTTCTTTTCAGTACCCCTCCAGAAAATTCAAATGGCCTCCTTGTTGTCTCTCCTCTCTCACTTCCCTTGCCCTTCTCTCCTTCTGTTACCTTTTAACTAATATAACACAAGAAAGGAACTTGTATGATAAAGCAGTGGAAGGGTAAGCAGAGAGTGACTCCTTGCGCGTGGACCTTGCCCATACTTCATCATATCCCTCTTTTCGGCCTGTCTCTTCTGCTCTTTTCCTTACCCTTCTCCTTTTCAAGTTCTTCCTTTTTCGTTTTCTGTTTCGAAAAGAAAGAGGGAAGGGAGAGAGAAGGGAGAGAGGATAGATAAAGAAGAGTGCCATTTTCTTTGCGCCTTGTTTTGTCTCTCCATCTTCTTTGTTCATCTCTCTTTTCTATTCTTTTCTTGGCTCTTCCCATTAAAATTGTCTTCCTTTTATCTCTCCTCTCTCCTTCTCTTTCCCCTCTCTTCTCCTGTTCCCCTTTAAATGACAAAAACACAAGAAAGGAAGAACAAGAGGGGAATGGAGGCCCTTTTCCTGTATTCTCCTGTTGCAATGAATACAGAAAAGAGCATAGGAGATAAGGAAGGGAATTGAGGAGCTCCTTTCGCTACTTTCTTATGCCCTTTCCTTTGTATCTACCACACAAAAACACCACTCTCAGCTTCCAAGAATACTCTCGTGGAGACGCATTGGTTAGTCTAAAAACCCGAGTCTCAGCTTCCAAATAGACCCTATTTAAGCCACCCACCCCCCCCCCCCCCCCCCCCCCCCCCCCCTCCCAGACCACACAAAGGGGCGCGCCCCACGCAGGCTGTCAAATTGTGGACGCCAGCCCTGGCTCTGCTGGCGGAGCTGACGGGTGCCACCGGCGAACCACAGGCGCTTTGCTCTGGGCCTTAAAGCCCCCCCCAAAACCCTGTAAGCAAATCCCCAAATCCCTGTGAGCTGTAAAAGAAACGCCCGGACAGCTTGGAGCAGTAGAGGCTGAAGGCAAAGTTCGCAAGAAGGCAAAACGCCCAAGTCCGTTAACGCTCTAGTGAGACCACCTCCCCAGGTCATGACCTTCAACTCCGTGCTGATGGCCTGCAGCAGGGCGCGAAGCTGGCACCACAGTCTCAAGTGCCTCGCGCAATTTCCAGGCGCGCTCCGCGGTCGGCGAGGGACTCGGTGGTGCATGCGCTCGTGGGTTTTTCTTTAATCGATGCGCCATTTGAACGGTGAAGACGTGCTCATGGCTTGAACCTTCCGCAAAAAGCTCACATCTCCTAAGATCTTTCCCCAGCCTCCAAACCTCAAAGCCCGACACGCCTAGGAAGACGCGTGAGGTCCAAGTCTTATTATATCCAGCGACATTATGCTGGATTGAATTTTATGTCATATGACAGCATATTTGACTTTATACAGACCCCGAAGATCCTCGAACCCTTTGTCGCTTTCCTCTCCTGTGGGCCAGACTACGGCCTCGAACCCAACGACCCACGCCAGCACACAGGGGGGGGGGGGGGGCAGGCTCAGATGGCATGTGTGACGGGTCCAAGGTTGAGAGTGTTGACTCGGTTGACTCCAACCATATCTCAGGCTGGCGCATGTGATCTGAATTACCACGAGATCTAGTATGTCAGGCTCGGATTCAACCTCAGTAGAATCAGAGCAGAAATCTGGAAGCCTCGCCTCGCAAGCCAGAAGCCTACTTATGACTTCAACTTATCTACGTCCTCAAAGCTGGGATCGAGCGCACCCGTCGTCTCGCCGGCCTGGCCCTCCCTGTCCCCAAAGCCGGGCGCCCAGGTGGTGACCTTCAGTTCCGCCGTGTCCGCCTGTGAGGACCATTGGGCGGGGGTCTTTGGGATGCTTTGCAGCCCATCGCAGCACCCTATAGAAAGTCTCAATCCACGTGAATAGTCCCACTGGCAAGCGTGGAAGCCATTGGCTAGCCCAGCAACATGCTCTCGAATGTCCGGTATGTAGCACAGCAGCCGTGGTTCAGAAGCCTGACGCATGCCGCGTGCGCAGCAAAATGCTGAGAAGAGATCCAGTGTTTGAAGAAGCTCCGGCATGCTCCGGCAAGCGCAGCTGGGAGCAGAGGCTCTTAGCTGGCAGCTCGCATGAAAGCCAAAATTAGAAGCAAAACCAGGAGTTTTTGGTCGTGTTCTCCGAGCGACTCCAAGGACGCGTGAAAAATTCGACTAAGCTGAACCGCGCGAACTGCTCTCCCCAAGCTTTGCATCCCAAAACAGGGTCAACAAGGAACACACTCGACAAGAAACAACGAACGGAAAATCATTTCTCAACATAGCAGGTGGGGGCAATGGTACTGCTTGTGGTTGTGGTCATAGTCGTGGTCCGATGCGTATTTTCCAGTAAGGGATGTAGGGAGAAGTGCTTGTAGAAGGACTATAAGAGAAGTGTAGCATTTTTTCGGGGGGCGGCGCCCGGCGAACCTCTTACTTGGAGGCCCATGACCCCCTGAATCGAGTTTGCACTTCCCTGTTTCAAGTCGATGATAAGTCGATGGTCGGCATCGCATCCGCCAGGAAGGAGGCATCTGGGAGACGACGTTGCGCCTTTTGATGGAGATGCAGGAGCAGACTTGGGTGCCTCGCTTTGTTAGAACAGGGCGAAGAACAGTGTTCATTCAGAATTTGTATCCGAGTTCTCATGGCCTTTGGTAAGTTCTCATTCAGGCCTTCCCAAGACGTGTCGCAATGACTGTTTAGAAGAAGGCACTAAAGGGTTGTCAAGGTCTGCTCCGCGTGACTCGATGACTGTCGATGCATCAGCCAGGCAATTCAAGCCGTGCGTCTGGTTGACTGAAAGGGCGGTATGTGGCGCCCACTGCAAGCAATATTGGCGAGAGAGAGAGAGAGTGTGTGTGTAGCAGCATGCCGGTGTCGCTGTATGTGGCAGGCTGTAGTTTTCAATCTTTCACCCTGCTCAAACGACCCGAGCGCCTGTGGCGTTTGTAACTCGAGGCGGCACTGGATTGCGGAGTCCTGAAAGTCGCCGCGAGTGGTGATGCTCGACTGCGCTAATCTGAAGGCTTTGGGGAGGAGCCCCGTTACCGCAACGAGACAGCGTTTAGAAACAGTCACACTGCTTTGAATATGGCGCTCAACGCAGCAACAATCCTTTCCGTATATCCTGCACGACCCAACCGGAGCCTCAGCCGAATGCCAACTGACTGGTGCTTCGCTCTGACAACCTTTTTGGTTAGGGTTTAGGTTGCTTAGCTGGCAAGTGTGCTCTGGGAACTCGGAGGGTTCGAAAGCAAAGCAGGCCAAAGAATGAGCATCGCAGAGCACCGCAGGAGTTGAGTTTTGGCGCCTCCTTTGAAGCTTGACCCCCCAAAGGCTAAGCCGGCTAAGCCCTGAAACCTCGAGAGCCGAAGCTTCAAGGCCCTCAACGCCCGCGCTTCAAAGCCCACTAGGCCCACGGGGGTCGTACTTGTAGGATACCGAGTAGTTCTACCTAGGAAAGGAATCCTTGGACTGGCGACGCTCCCTCCTCCTCACCATACCGGCTGGACGTGGTGACTCGCACTTCGGCCGTTCAGGAAGTTCAGGAAGTTCTTTCAGGGGGCAGCTTTTGAAGTTTTGAGACTTTGGGCTTCTGGGCTTCAGGGCTTGTGACGGCTTGTGGTGCCAGGGTGCCGTTGACTTGCCCCAGGTTTTCTACGGCGAGGGGTTGGCCGAATTGGCTCTGGCTGCCTTGTTCAGCTTCGAATAGAACTGGCAGTTTTGTATGGGGTGCGAAGTGGGGGAGTCTCCAACCAGCGGTCAGGCGGCTTACAGGATTCTGAGGCTAGGGTTTGGGAGTTCATAGACCGCCTCAATCGGAAACCGCCTTCGGCAATTCATGGTTCGCCCCATAAAGGAGATGGCCCCGTGTCAAAATCAAAGCCCTGGAGCTCCTGAACCCCTCCACTTTCGAAGGTGAAACCCAAGAGTCCCGCACTTCTCAGCCCCTGCCGCGCAGCCAGCCCCGCAAACTCGCATTCTAAGCTAACAAAACGGCGAAACCCCAAACCCCAAATGCCAAAATCACCCAAAGCCTGGAAGCCTTGAGATGCCTTGGCCTTCAAAGTTCTACCCGAATACAGATGTAGACCTCACACGGTCCTTAACAGCAACCCAGGAGCGGGTCCATCGAATCCATCATCTCCAGTAGCCTGACAAAGCTGCGGGAATCCTGGCCACGAGCGGCGCAGATGTGCCTTGAAGCCGATTTTTGGTGCCTTTGGGGCCCTTTGGGGCGTTCAGGGTCTAAGGCCTGGTGACGGTTTCAGTGCGGAGACTGAGCGACGTTTCAATCTATATCCCACATACCTGCTAGAATTCGTAGCTGGCCGGCTGTATCTGAAGCCGCTCGAATCCGCCAGCGCTGCTACGTGCGATGATGCATGCATGTGTCTGTCTGTATGCTGCCTCCTCGTGTACCCGCGTCTTTAACCTAGTACATTGAGCCACTAATTACTGGCAATAAAGAAGTTGAATTTAGAAGCCACGACTTTGTTCAAGCATATACATACCTCCAGCCATGTTAATTCAAGTTTTCCTCAAACTCGAAACCTTGAACCGGCTTTGTTGGAGGGCCCTTGAAGCCTTTGTTGACTTGATGAGCGGAAAAGTCTTGCAGCGTCAGCAAGTGCCTTCGGTGAACTTGCTGGGCTTGTGTGCTTGTTGCCAAGTGAAGCTTGGGTAGGGCGACAAAGAAAGTGGGGCTCCGAGCCTCCTCACCGAGCCGGCAATCTGTGAGAGCGGAAACGACCCTTCAATAGCTTGCAGGGCTCAGGAAAACGATACAAAAAAATACCATGCAGTTCAAAATGTCTCAACCCTCGGTGTACGTAGGGTTGATCCTTGTCCCCTGGCACCACTCCATGTTTTGCACCAGGCTCTCAGCGCTGCGGGACCGAGGAGCCCAGCCAACAGTGCCATGGCAAGGGGGCTCATGGGGCTTCGTGACTCTTTGGGAAACCTTGGGTGAGAGCATGGAAACTTCTCAGAAACAGGAAGCTCCCTACTGTGGGGAAGTCGCAGCCCAAACGCTCGTGTTTTGAGATCTTTTGGGCTGAGCTGCCACCTTTGCACCAAGAATTGTCTTTTGTGACTTCAAGCATGCATTTTGAAGGGCTTCAACAACTTGGCGTCTTAGGTTTGCAGTTTTTTGGCCGGGGACGTGCATCAGCAGCTCAGGCTGTGGCTTACACTGCCGTCATCACGGCTTGCAAGGAGGGCTTCTACCAGGCGCATCCTTGTCAGTGCAGTCTGATGTTTCTACAGATGCCAAGGCAGTTGCATCGCAAGGGGCCATGGCTGAAGCGCTTTGAAGGGCAAGTTCTGAACGGCATGCGGGAATTCGAGAATCTTCCTGTAGAGCCGGCTCCGAAAGCTCGATCCCCTAAACCCAGCGCGCGCGCACACGTGCGCGCGCGCGCACCCACCCACCCACCCACCCACCCACCCACCCCCACCCACCCACCCACCCACCCACCCACCCACCCACCACCACACACCCACCCACCCCACCAACCCACCCACCAACCCACCCACCCACCACCCACCCACCACCACCACCACCACCCACCCACCCACCTCACCCACCACCCACCCACCACACCACCCACACACCCAACACCAAACAAACCCACACCACACACCCACACACCACCACACCCACACCACCACACACCACACACCCACACACCCACACACCCACACACCCACACACCCACCACACCCACACACCCACACACCCACACACCCACACACCACTACACCACACAACACAACACACACACAACACACACACACACACACAAACACACACACACACCACACAAACACACACAACACCCACACACACGACACACACACACAAAACACACACACACACACACACACACCACACACACACACCACACACCCAAGCACCCACACACCCACACACACACCTCACCACACACACCACACACACACACACACACACACACACACACACACACACACCACACACACACACACACACACACACACACACACACACACACACACACCACACACACACACACACCACACACCCACACACACACACACACACCACACACCCACACACACCACACACACACACACACACACACCACACACCACACACCACACACCACACACCACACACCACACACCACACACCACACACCACACACCACACACCACACACCACACACCACACACCACACACCACACACCACACACCACACACCACACACCACACACCACACACCGCACACCACACACCACACACCACACACCACACACCACACACCACACACCACACACCACACACCACACACCACACACCACACACCACACACCACACACCACACACCACACACCACACACCACACACCACACACCACACACCACACACCACACACCCCACACCACACACCACACACCACACACCACACACCACACACCACACACCACACACCACACACCACACACCACACACCACACACCTCACACCACACACCACACACCACACACCACACACCACACACCACACACCACACACCACACACCACACACCACACACCACACACCACACACCACACACCACACACCACACACCACACACCACACACCACACACCACACACCACACACCACACACCACACATCACATACCACGCATCACACACCACACACACACCGCACACACACACACACCACACACACACACACACCACACACACACACACACACACACACACACACACACACACACACACACACACACACACACACACACACACACACACACACACACACACACACATACGCACCCCTCCCCAAAGGGCGCGACGCAAAGACAGAAAGACGAAAGTCGCCAAGTTCAAATGCGCCACCATGCCACGTCCACCTCTATTCCCGTGCATGAGCCGAAAGTCGGCGTGTGTGGCATCAAAGAAGGCATTCGGTGTTATTGCCATCAGCTGCAGCAACGATCCCGAGGGCCCGAAGGCCCGAAGGCCCGAAGACCAAAGCCAGGTCGCCCAGAAGCTTTCAGAGACGGCGCAGCGAACTGGCAGGCCCGGAAACCGCTGACGCTGTTGGGGTTGAGTCCAGAGATTCGTGCTTGTGAGGAAGCTCCGGGCAGCGAGAAACGTGCGATGAGCACAGCCATCCTCATCCTGAGGGCAGCTTCACACTGCCTATCACTGCCTGTAGTACCTCAAACCTGAAGCCCTGGACCGTGTGACTGAAGCTCTCCAACGCAACCGTTTCTTGGAGGCTCTGGTCACGGGCTGTGGCTCTCTTCACCGAGCTGCCGGCACAGTCGCTGCGGCCAGACGCCGTGGCGAGCCCGAGCTGAGGAATTACAAGGGCTCTTTCGTTAATTTCGTGGTGTCAAGGCATCAGCTTCTTGCTCTGGCCGAGGCAGCAGGTGTTCACTTGTCATAGTCTTGCAGAGCTTCATGCCTCTCCTGGCATTGCGCGTCCGCATGCCCCTATAAAGGCCCAGACCGCCCCGGTTGGGTGTGGACAACAAGGATCGGCTCCATCCTCGCTGCGTGCGGTGCGGCGAAGCGGTCAGAGACACCAGCCTGCGCTGGAACGTTTCGGGCATTTTGTGGGCCTTGGGGTCTTGGGCGTCACGGGTGTTCAAGGCTAGGGGTTTCAGAGGTTCCGCTAGGGCTGTGAGACCAGATGTCCTTTTCCAAGCTGACTCTCTCGTGAATCAAGCCGCCAAGCCCAACATTCTAAACCCTAAGCATCCCCAAGCTCATTCGACAAGACACACATCCTCGAAGCGAGGTTGAGCCTGGGCATCTTCCAGCAGATGGTGGCCGAGACCTTCGAACCGGACTTGACCCTGCTCCTGGGGCTGTTGGGATTTGCGGTAAGCTAAACGAAAAGTTACATCACCTGTTTAGGATTTAGGGTTTAGGGTGAAGGGTGTAGGGTTTAGGGTCAAGGGTTCCGGGTTTAGAGTGCATGAAGGGTTTAGGGTTGAGGGTTTAGGGTTTAGGGTTGAGGGTTGAGGGTTGAGGGTTGAGGGTTTAGGGTTTAGGGGTTAGGGGTCTAAGTATCTACCCTAGACTCACTCCCTAGACCCCACCTGCTATTAGACCCCCACTCCCTGCTACTAGACCCCCACTCCCTAGACCCCCACCTGCCACTAGACCCCCGCTCCCTAGACGCCCACCTGCTCAACGGGTGCCCGGCTCCCACCAAAAACTCCACAAAGCGCGGTTAGAGCCACAGGGGCGCGTGTGGCTAGGAGAAAAAGTCGACAGGGTTCAGATGTGAAGGTTTTGCGGGGCTAGGAAACATCCTCTTTGGTAGAAAAACAGTTCTGCTATGATTGGGGTTTAAGAGTCGGGGTGCTTTCGACTGCAAACTGAACTTCTTGGGCTGGTCGGGGTGTTTCGACATTATTCTACTGCAGTAAGGGAGACCTTGATGACGGGCGAAGCGGAGCTAGAAGCATGCGAACTATGCCCGAGATACAACATCCTCATCGATGCTTGCAAGATCAGCAACGACGCGGAGCAGGCTCCGGGGGCTTCTTCCAAGTTAACGGATGTCTGTCTCATTAGGCTCGGAAGAAAGGGTTCTAACAAGGTTTGCTGCGGGACTTCTGATGACTTCCCGTCGGCCACTTTTGTTGGTTGAGAGTTGCATGGGTCCGCCGGCCTGGGAAAGTGCCTAGGGTTCAGCCGCTCGTAGTTGAAGCAAAGATACGGATTACTCGTGGAGCCATCCAGCGCAAGCGCCCCCCCTGTAGAATCCTGATGCCTCCATGGGCTTCGAGGCTTGCTAGGCTTACTTGGTTGATGCAGACCTTCTGCGCGAGTGTTTGAGATGTATGGGCAGATACATCAAGTCCGCTCCGCGAAGGCCAGCTCGTATTGATAGGGTTTAAGGATGAGGGGCCTACAGTTTTCCAGAGCGATCAGTGCCAAACCTCGAGAATCTCGACCTCTCATCATTTCGACCAGGCCTTTCAGCTTCTGGAGGAGCAGACCGGCAGCAGTTTTGAGGTTTAGGGTGGAGGGCAGGTTGGGGCTTCGCAACCCGCCCCCCATGAAAAGGCTCCTGGCGCCCAAGAGCCCAAAGTTCGAATTCTCTCCAGTCTCAGTAGCCGCAGTAGCCACAAGGCATCCTACACCCTTATGGTCTCAATAAAGTGGCCGAGGCTCCTTGTTCGTCAGCTGCAGCCCAGCGCCCGACACTCAGTTTGGCCGCGGGCAGTTTCGAGCCCTCAGATGCTCTGATGCTCTCAGGATTTGGGGTTTGAAAATCACCTTCCGCAACCCAAGCGAAACGCGCGCTTCGGAGAACAAAATCTTAACAAAGGGGGTTTTATCGCTCCTGCGACGACGACTACTACCACCACTATCACCACTACCACCACTACCACCACTACCACCACTACCACCACTACCACCACTACCACCACTACCACCACTACCACCACTACCACCACTACCACCACTACCCCCCACTACCCCCCACTACCACCACTACCACCACTACCACCACTACCCCACTACCACCACTACCACACTACCACCACTACCACACTACCACTACACCACTACACCACTACACCAGTACACCACTACACCACTACACCACTACAAGCAGCCTAGACCCGACTTGTTCCAGCTTGACCCAGGACCTCACTTACAACCACCTCATCGCCTGCTCAGCTGCGTCGACTGGCATGCCATCCGGCCCTGAGCGCCTGGGCATCACGGCCTTTCTGCTTTGACCTTGGTGTTCAGGGTTATCGGTGTTCGATCAATTTAGGCCTGGATGGGTGCAGTACTGTCTTCGGGTTGTAGAGCAGGGGAGAGCCTCCAACAGAACAGGCGTCTAAAGGATGCAAATGTTACACCATGAACGGAGACGGCCCTCGCCCAAGCCGCTTTGGATGCTGGGTTCAGGGCTGGGAGAACTCGTGCAAGGATTTTTCAGAGTGCAAGGTGTTGAGGCTGTGCCATGCAGGATTGCGTCGTTGTGCGCGTGCTCCTTTCAAGTTTGGGGCAGGCTGCTTTCGGCGATGCGCCGAAGGACCTTGGAACCTTGGCAGACGTTCAATGACGCCTGAGTATGCGTCCAATGACGCTTGAGTATGCACCTTGAACAAGACTGGGAAGCCACTTTGGGTGTTGGGTTCGACCTGCTCGGCTGCTGGGGGGTGGGTGCCGGGGGGCGCAGGTGCAAGGCTCTCTCTAGGGTGAGACTTTCCATGCTGCCTAAGTAACATCCTGCACTTGCGACCCATTTTCTGCCTTGGCATCGTGCCGATGATGACAAAAAGCAATGCAATCAGGCGAAGTGTATGACAGTGAGCACATGCCGCTTGAAGCTGAGGAAGTGGGCGTTGTCACGACGCTCGGTTTGAAAAAGGCACATTCGCAAACCATGGCTGCTCCAGCAGAATTGGTACCGGAGGCTTGAGGTCTGCAAATGAATTTACGGTGAGACCCGCTCCCCGACGTGCAGTACCGGCTGTAACCCTTCCCTATCCCTTGGTCTCGAGCTCCCCCCGTCCTCGGAGGTACAACAACTTGCTTTCTTGCTGCAAGAGTGGCCGTCAGGAGGAGAAGGCTGCTTCGGGTTTCGGGATGATCCGGGTCAGTTCCTTTGAGAAGCATGGGGCTTCGAGCAGGCCTGGCAGCTGTTCCAACAGATGCGAGCGGAGAGTGTCGAGCCCAACGCAGCTTGGCGAAGTGTCCTGTGTGGAGAGCCAAAAGCTAAGCGCTCCAAAAGCCTCCGAAGCCCATCTGAGACTTCATCCGAACCCCACCTCAGCAACTTGCACGGTTGGAGTTTGAGGCGCTGACCTGGGCCGCCCTCCTGGGACGTGGAGGCGCTTTGCACGGAGGTGCGCTGCTGGCGGCCTTCGACGGGGAGAGCAATGTCGTGGTCTGCAGTGCCTGGATGTTAGGACGGATGTGGGGGGGGGGGGGAGCTGGGTAGGATGTCTTTAGGTCGTGATGAAAGGGTGCCGGGGTTTACGTGGTTTAGGGTGCTTGAGGGAGATGGCTCGAGGTTTGGTAGGCACGTGGGTCAGGGCCCTGGTTGTTGCGGATGTAGGACGGCATAGGGCAGGTTGCAACAGACTTCCAGGCATCCAGGGCTTCAAAGCAGCCTGGAACACCGCACCACCACAGCTGCCCTGCTTCAACTCGCTACTGGATGCTGATTTGCCTTCAAACAGGGTGTGGAAAGGCAAGACGGCATGGGGCAACTCCTGGGTCAGTGAGACTCGAACTGGCCCACGGCGTAAGGTGCTGCTCTGGAGCTTTGCCAGCGCTTGGGGGACTCAGAACGGGCTCGGGAACTCAGTGAGTGTGAGCCCGGCGAATACGATGCCCCGTGATGCCTTGTGCCAAGAGACCGACCCCCCTTTTTAGGGACCCTTCGAGAGATCGAGAGTCGAGGGTTTGCAGTTCCTTGCAATCTAGGTCATATTAGAATATATTCTAATGTTATAAAAGATTGCATGATATGATATCATGGTATTTTATATTGTATCAAAGGTATCAATATGCATAGTCATGATATTTTATCAAAGGTATCAATATGCATATTTGCGGTGAGAAGGGCTGGTTTGACATGGGGTAGAATTCGGGGCAATGTCGTTTGGACTGCGCAGGCGCGTACTTTTGTGGCTTGGCACATTTCCGGATCCGCGCAATGTCGCGCGTCGGATTCGTGAATTGGATGTTGGACATGCGGACGTTCTGTTCTGTTACAGCTGCTACTCCCTTGAAAGGGCAGCATTTCTGTATTTTTAGGCTGGAAAATGTGTCGGTGCAAAAACGCTTGTTTTTTCGACTTCACCTGGAAGACTCAGGAAATGCTGTTGACAGCATCCCAACCCTCCGTTCTTGCTTTTTAAGTTCTCCCACGCTTGCCTCCCCGTCCCTCCCCACTTTTTTACTTGCTTCAAAGCACACGTAAATGTTTGAAAGCCATGATGAAGCATTGTGTGCAGGAATGGGGGGGGGGGGGGGTTGCGCCCCCCCCCCCCCAAAGCACACACGTATATGTTGGAAAACCATGATGCGAGGATGTGTGGAAATGGGGGGGCTGCCCCCCCCCCCCCCTCCCCTCCGGCTCTTTCAAGTCGCACAAGCTTGCTTCAAAGCACACGAAGATGTTTCAACACCACGATGCCAGCATTCTGTGCGACCCCCCCCCCCCCCACCCCCCCCACCCCCCCCCCCCCCCGCCCCCCACGTTTTGACTCGCGCAAGCTTGCTTCAAAGCACACGTATTTGTTGAACACCATGATGCCAGCATTGTGTGTGCAAATGAGAGGGGCTGCGCTCCCCCCAAACCCCATTTTAAGTCGTGCAAGCTTGCTCTAAAGCACACGTATATGTGTCAACACCATGCTGCCAGCATTCTGTGTGCAAAACCCCCAACCCCCCCCCAACCCCCCCACTTGTTTAAGTCGTGCAAGCTTGTTTCAGAGCACACGTTGAAGTTTCAACACCATGATGCCAGTATTCTGTGTGCAAATGGGGGGGCTGCGCCCGCTTGCTTCAAAGCGCACTTATGTCTTTGAAAAACCATCATGCGAGCATGGTGTGTGCAAATGGGGGGGGTGCTTTTTTCTTGCTTCAAGCATTCGTGTCTTTTCTCATTCATGCCCCGAAGAGCCTGGAACCCTGAAAATCTACTCCCTGGACCTCCAAGCAAATACCCGTCATCTTTCGAAACATTGTCTCTGAAAGGAATGCTTGTGGGCAAACCAGCCCTCCTGCGCGCATCTTTAGCATATCATATCAAAGGTATAAATATGCATAAATGTGTGTGTGTATGTATATCCATATAAATATACATATACGTATATATGTAATACTCCGCGCTTTGAGAATCCCAGCAGCGAATTCCAGCCGAGCTGACCGAGGCTCTGGAGATCTTCGCCCGGATGCGCGAGGAGCACGTGAGACCCGATGCAGCTCGTTAGAAAAAAGAAGGGAAATGGCTGGCAACGAGAGGGGAAACTTGAAAGCACGGCTGTTCGCGAACCTAGGTTCGCTAGGACATATAGACCTCATGAACATGGGGCAAGGGCCACTTCAGAGCTTCAGTGGCCCCATCTGCCCCTCAGCCGGCTTACGAGTGTGCGAGCCGAAGTTTTGTGAGGCCGTGACCTATGCTGCCGTCATTGAGTGCTGCTCAGCGCGGCATCAGGGCCTTGAGGCGGAACGTGGAGCAAGGAAATCGATCAATTGTGGGTGAAGTTGTCGTTGGGACTTGGCCAAGCAGGAGATGCCAGAGTTCGTCAGAATCCATCAGAATCCTCAGTGAGTGCCAGGTCCAGCAATTGCTCTTCGAGCTGCAGCGGTGTGTCCTCTGAAGCTCAGGGGGGGGAGGTCTGGAAGTAGGTTCAGGTTTTTCCAGTCCGGGCCTTCAAAATGTTAAACCTGGCAAGTCCACTTGCATCCACCAGCCGGGACTGGGATCACCTTTTACTTGATTTTTGTGTATCAGCTTGAAGCATTTAGCGAGTTGGACAGTTGGGAAATGCTGGACAAGTGCCAGCGGCAGTCTAGTAGACTGCTTCAGTGCACCAGACACTGTGAGATGTTTGGATGCATGGGCGCCGCTTTGTTCATGGCCAGCGAAAAGGTGCAGAGTGCTGGCAGAGTGGCAAGAGGGGTTCATCGTGAAGCTTCAAGACTTCAGGCCAAACCAACCAATCCACCACTGAAGACCTGCAGAAAAGCACAGAGTCCGACTAGCCTGCAGAGGCAGCTTTGACGAAGCTCGGAACACCTTCCCTCCGTGAGGTGCACCACGTTCGTTTTTAGCTTGGGGGGGGGGGGGGGGGTTGGCCTGGAACTGCGCTTTCGGGTTCGAAGTGGGATCCCAATGAAGCCTGAAACACCCACAGCACGAATCCCTGATTGGATTTTTGGAAACCCTACTTGTAGACGCTTTCGCGTCCGGCCCGAAGATCCGGCTTAGGCTTCGGCCCTACTGGTAAAACCCATTGAACATTCTTAGGGGTTATTTTGCTAGTTTGTTCTTGTTCAGGCACTTCAAAAAGCTTTCCCTAAAGGCCCCAACGTCACAAAGCCACCGAATTGAGCCACCGAACGTGCCGCCGGCTTTCTTGGGCCACCACCTAGCAGAGGGATGGTCAAAGGTCCCGTCGTCATTGACTCGCAAGAGGGATTAGGCTCAGGGCTTAGAATTGATAGATGTTGGTGGCTTTTAGATCCAAGAGCGGGGACAAGGTGCCACAAGCTTCCTCAGTGCGTCCTCTTCTCTTAGGCGCTCCTGGGGTGTGACCTTCCAAAAGCCCGGATCAGCCCTTTTCACCCTTCCAGACCTTCAGCAAGTGCAAATGAGCCAAGCTGGGCGTGGCCTTGAAGAACTACGCCCTAAGGCCCTCAGGACATCAAGGAGTTCCCTGAAAGGCCCTGAAGTATGAAATACAGTCGACTTGCCACCTTCAGTCCCGTCTCTTGCCTTCAAGGACATGGGGGAATGGTGAGGGCTCAAGGCTTCTCAGGGGAAAGAAGTCTGCAACCGGGCCTGCAGGCAAGTTTCATACTTCGTCGTACTGAAAGTACGACGGAGTACCACCGCCAAGAAAATCTGAATACCCAATTAAGAACTGCCCAGGGGTTTGGGGGAATCTCTGATGACTCTGATGCCCCACACCGTGAAGCGGACACGCCCTATACCGAAAAGCCACCCATCGCACGCAAGCCCTACCTAACCAACCAAATGCCTAAACTCTGCAACGCAAACCCTGCACACTGGCCCGACGTCAGAAGCATGTGCTGTTGCGGTTCCTCCACTTCTTTCTATAAGAAAGCCCTCTCTCTCTCTCTCCCTCTCTCTCTCTCTCTCTCTCTCTCTCTCTTACTTCACCGTTTTTTAAGAAGAAGAGTGCTCTCATCGGACAGGTGGCGGCCTCCTTCCACGCCAAGCTCTTGGACGAGAACCCGACCCTGGCCGAGGATTTGGTGCCTCGAAGAGAAGAGAGCTTCGGGGGTTTCGGGTTGATGACTCACTCGTGGTTTCGGAAGGTTTTTTTTTGCATACCTTCCGTTTCCGAAACGTTGTCACAGGGCTGGAGTTGAGAGTGTCTCACTTGATGCCGTTCTACGCAACAAGCAGCAATTCCAGCCTCATTTGCACCTAACATTGCTGTGCTTACCCTTCTTGACCGCATCGCAGGTGGACCTTGCAGAGGCAAGGAGCAGCGGTCGTTTGCATTCTTGGTTCTTGTCCACTTGTCCCTCCCTGCCTCCCTACCCTCTCTCTCACCCCTCTCTCCCTCTCTCCCTTTCCCTCGCTCTCCTCCCACTCGCTAACTCTGGCACTCTCCCATCGCTCGCATTCACAAAAGCAGCACAAGTTTCATTCCACTGTGCCAAGAACCGAAGAGTAAATGCGGGAGGTCTTGAACATGCCCAAGAAGGACGCTGGGTGTGCCTGAGCTTTGGCAGTGCTTTGAACCGAGGTCTCCAGCACACACCATGTGCGAGGGGTGATGATCTTCAGGCATTTCTGGTGAGAGGTGCTATGTGGGGTACAGGCTTTCATGTCGTGACAAGAAGGACCCCGACGTGCTTTGGCTTGAGCTCGCCGAGCAAACGAAGCTTCCTGCGCTGGAGGCTTGACTTGGGGGTCTCGGCAGGATGAGGAGATGTGTGTTCATTTGGGCCCGCGGCTTAAATTCAGTATCATCATTTTCGACGACAGAGTCCTGTGTCATACATTGTGTGCCGAGTGGCCCAGTGGCCACAGTGGCCTCAGCAGCCTTCGGAGCCGAGGGGGTCAGCGTCACAACGCTCCCCCAGAACTCGCCTCAAGCTGCCCTAAGCACCTACTGCTCGGTAGCAGCCTCGCCTGTGCGTTCGCAAGCCCGGAAAAGCATTGAAGAGATGGCAAAGAACCTGTCGAATGCCGCTCTGGTCAGGCTTCGCTGGGCCACTTGGCCTTGCTTGGGTCGAGCGTCTCCAGATTGAAAGGGTGTTGAGGCTGTCGCGTTCGGGGCGTTTCGGAATCTCACAAATCTCATTAATCACAGTTCATCTACGATGGGCTGCAGAGCAGATTTGCTTGCTTGCGGATCGTGGAAGCTTGGCCTCAGCCAAGGGCTCGCAGAGAAATCACCTCAGGACTCAGGAGGTTTTAAGGCGATTTCGCCTTCTTCGCCTTGAACGCACAGGCGCTCTCCATGCTGCGGGTGCCGCTGCAGAGGCCAAAGTTTCGCCTCCTGGTGCCCGGGCAAAAGAAGGTGCAAGAACAGATCTCAGTTTGCTGAAAGACCGCTCAACAAGTTCCAAGGCCTAGAGGCTTGAAGGCGCAGACCGTTCCACTGGAAATTGGTATAAAGTGAGATTTGCACTGCTGGGATGACGTGTTTCAGCCTCATGCGTGCTCCAACAGCAAGACCAGCCGGAGCCTTCTGAGCCTGAGGCTACGTGCGGTATTGGACAGGCCAGCGGACGGTGCCTCGGCCAGCTGAATTTTGTTGCAGGTGCTGAAGGTTTCAATTTGGAATGCGGAGGTTTCGAGGCTCCAAGTGGACTCCAAACCTGCTGGACCGCTCGAATTCCTGAGGCCCAGAGTGTCATCGGTTCCTTGCGGATTAGAGGCGTGTGTGTGTATCGGTGCTACTCAAAGGAGTGTAGCTGTGAGCCGTCGACCCCAAAACTCCTCCATCCCCAGTACGTCAAAGCTTCAGGTGCCCTACATGCACCTCGGCATTGACCTTTTTCCTTGGCCTCCAGGGGTGCTGGACTTCGGGATTTGGGAGGGAGATTCAGGACCTTTCATTTCGCCCCGTTTCTGGCATGTTCTGGCTAAGGTTATGGACCAGGCCATGCAGGGACTTCAGAGTTTCTGAAGCCCCTTTTTCTGACATGTCAGCCTAGGCTGCGCTTCTTCGAAGAGCCGCTGAGTTGCACGTCAGAAGAGAGCCAATTCTGCTAAACAGTTTGCAGCAAAGACTCCCAAGGCCTTAGCTCCAAAAAGCCTAGAAGATGCCAGTTTGGGCACCGGCTTGAGCAATGAGCTGCACCGGGATAACTGGCTCTGCAGCTCTGGTGAGCGCTGCTTGTCAACCACCCTTCTGGGAAGATTCGCTGCATGTACACAAGATCATTCAACACCGCCCCAAAGGGCAGCTTGCATCTGTCCGCTGCCTCACCTCCGTCAAGGGTGCTGCTTTACGAAAACTGTCTTGCTGGTCTGACGGAGATTGATGGAGTCCTCCAAGTGGCAAGTAGCGGAAACGCATCATGTTGGAAACCCAAAATCCGAAGACCCGATCTGCTGAAAAACAACGTAGTCTCGATGTTGGATGCTACCGCCTGAGCAGGTCAACGTGTGGCTTGGCTCAGCCCCTGCTCGTTGCGCTGAGGGTGGAGCAGCTTGTGAGGCCGAGCTCCTTTTGTGTTCTTTTTGTTGGGGGAGAGGGGGGGGCTTGTGCGGCTTTTGGGGCCTTTTGGGGCCTTTTGGGGGCCTTTTGGGGGCCTTTTTGGGGTTTGGGGTCTTGATTTGTGATGCTGTGTACAGTGTAGGGCTTATTTCCGTTTGGGTGACAGCAGCATGTCCTTCCGGAGGTCGCCCTTTGTCGACCCCCGCGGCGAGGAGCATTGGCTTCAGGGAATCAGGATTTGGAGTTTGACCACTTCCGAGCACTGTTCTTCGCCTGGAAGGGTTGTCCCGAGCTTGAAGCAAAACTGCCTGTACCACACCTCAGCCGGCAGAATCGGGCAGGAGCTACTTGCGACTTGGCAGCATTCGCAGCCAGAGAGGTCCGTGTAAGGGTGGCCTGATTGGCAAATTGCTTGCAGTTCTCAAGTTTTCAAAGCTGTCTCCCTCCCTAACCGAAGAACTAACTTGGGGATTCGGGCAGCGCTCATCAACCTCCCCCCCCCCCCCCCCCCCCCCCCCCCCCCTCCCCCTTTTTTTGAACTTGGCGCCGGTTGCGGTGGGACTGAAGTGTGAGCTCAGAAGACGGCCAGACACACGTGTTGAGAGGTTGGGATTTGTGATTCAGGGTGCGCACGCTGGGCTGAGTGGTTGCATAGTGGGGTTGAAGCTACTCACAATAGCTGATGACGCTCGCGACTGAGTACTGGCAATTCGTTCCTGTCCCACACGTGCTGAGGCTGCTCTGAAGTCAGTTCCAAAAACCAAGGCCGTGCTGCTGCGCTACCTCTGTGGCGATGGCGCTGGCCTTCGTGCAGTCATGCACTGCTGCGCCTTGTCCGGCAATGCTGGACTTAGGTTTGACTGTAGTGTCATTCCCGGTTCAACCATTGACAGTCGACGAGCGGAGAGGGGGCGCCATGAGCAATGCACTTCACTAGGAGACACTATCACGCCAGTCCGCGCCTCTCCAACGCCCAACGCGGTAATGGAAAGAACGGCGAGATCTTACACTCGGAATGACTTGACTTATTCAGCAATGCCTGCCCTTGTGGGGACATATCTCGCGATCTCTCAACTCATGCGTTGCACTAGCCTGGATTATTTAGATTCCTGGGTCTTGGAGCTTTTGACCAGAGGTGATGGGGAGACGGCGCGGGAGCCTGAGCTGGGTCTGGGTAAGGGGGGTGGTAGGCAGCGGTAGAAGGATGAGGATTCTTTCGTTTTAGTGGCCTGACTCGTCAAGGTTTTGTTACCGCCTTTGCCTTGGCAGTACGAATTCCATTCCGCCAAAGACGAAGACACCTGTGTGTCAAAGTGCAAGAGACTTCGCTGGTTTCGGAGAACAACTGTGGAGCTCCGGCAAATCTTGAATCCAAAAAGAGTCCCCAAACCGGAAGCTTCCCGCGACTCGCCCGCGGGCACACGGACGCTGTTCCTGTGGTCGCACTTGGACGAAAATCGCACTTTTATCACAGCGCGGCTTATTCCTGGGTGACGGGCGTTTTGTGCCTTTGGAGGATTCGCTGTGTGCGTCCAGAATATAAGAACATTTTGCAGTTCGCGATGTTGGAGATCGTGCTCCCGGATAGGCGCCGTGCGTATGGACGTCGCCATCCTCGTACCTGTCGTCGTTTTCTGACGTCGGGGTTCGCGAAATGCGAAACTGTCGCTTGGGAACATCGGGGTTCGCCACACTCGCGTTTTTGTTGTTCTTGAAGGACATCCGGAGCTCTGGTGGCTATGACCCATGCGGTCTCGCACTGTTTGGGGTATACGCTGGGCCAAGGGCCTCAAAGCTTCAAAAGCCTTCAAACCCAAACACGCCGAAACTCAGTTTCGCCGCTCTGTCGGGTGACCTGGTTCCGTCCGTGGCTGCGGCGGAGCTCGAGGATCTTTCCGAGACCTGGTCTTAGAGCCCGCCATGGGAGTTGGGCCGGGGGCGCCGGGGGGGCCGTCCCTAGCTTTTAGCCTTAATTCTCCAAATTCAAGGTAGAGCTCAATGCCGAGACTACTTCATTTACCTAGTATGACATCAAGGGCTTGGGTTCAAGCAAGTAGGGCCGGCGCAGGAAGCGGATGCCTCGGCAACAGTTTTCGTGCTCGAGGGCGAGGCGCCACGGAGGAATTGATGGGCCAGACATTTGCCAAGGGTAAACATGCTGTAGACGCTGGCAGCGGGGCACTTGTGGACGAAGGTACCAGGCTCCAGGCTTTCGATTCAAGCTTGCCAACAATTGCCAAGAATGCTTGAGCAAGCTCCAGGCGACATGAGAGCTAGGCAAATCTAGTCCCGCATGCGAATCGGCCCAAACCCGGGAGGTAGACCCAGAAGAGGATGCGGACAACCTCCGGGCGCGTCGCACCTGGCAGATGGTGGGGGGGCCGGGGGGAGGGGGAGGGAGGAAGGCAGAAACTTATCTTAACAGTCACTAGCTCCTTGCTCCCTCAAGATCCACTGTTTGTGTCCGAATGCAAGGTCCCTCACTTGGCCAGTTCAATACATTCCAACATCGTGGTACAGGGTGTTGGACACAGAGCAAGCCTTGCATTGCCCACGCAAAGATGTTTTTCGATTCATGAAAAACGGCGATTGCGCTGCGCTTTTGTTTTTTTCTGGGTATTAAATTTCCCCTTGAAGGCCTGACCTGTCCTTAGGGCTGAAATGCCCCTTTCAGCATCTCATGCCTTATCATCCGAGCGTAGATTCGAACGTCACGCGATGTCATGTGCAGTGCCCCGCAGTACCTCCCTCCTGGAGGACCAGGTGCTTAGCCACCCGGCTGTTCTCAACCTCCGCACAAAGCATGCGGAGCATGCCGCTCGGAAAGCATGTGTTATGGGGTGGGCTGGCTTGTAAGGAGGCAGCGGGGGTGGCGCGCTTCATGCAGTGGTAGGACCTTGGGGCCTAGCGTTCCCGAACATTGTGCGATTCGTCGGGACTTTGAAGCCTGAAGCCCATACGTTTTGGTGCTGCACGCGCCCTAATGCTCCAGGCTAGAGTTGGCGTTCAAGGGTTTGGGGTAGAATCTGGGGAGTCTAGGGTTTGGGACGCTCCGAGGACACCGCCTTTGCGGTGATCCTTTGGGAAACGATCCGGCCTGGGCCTCATACTCAACGGTGGTACAGAGTAAAGAGAGGGAATGACCTTGTTGGACGAGGGTCGAGGCTGAAAGAGATCTTGAAAAGCAAGGGCTTTTCAAGAGGATTGGCAGTGCTTCGAAGCTTGGGGTCCATCTCCGCACGGCGTAGCAGCATCCGGGCAAACACCGCAGCCTACCGTCCAACACCATTATACTGAGTTCAAAAAGACTGGTATGTGTAGTGCGACTCAGCTCGAGAGTAGACTGCCAGGGTGGTTGGGGTAGATTTTTACGGGCTAGAATGTGGAGCATGTGGTAGAAAAGCAGCCAGCCAGCTTCACTGAACCAACGTCCTTCGTCCTTGACACGATCTTTCACTCTGATGCTCGCAGGTACATCCTCCGGCGGCCGCACTTGACGGTGTCGTGTAGTCGGAAGCTTGGTCCGATGTCTGACATTGGCTCCAGGACTCGTGACCTACGTGGCTGGTAGGATCTGGTAGGGCTGCCTGACATTCGGGTCGCACACATATCAACTACAGGTAGCGCTCAACCGTAACACGTCCGAAAAAGCCGGCACCTTTTCACCCGCTTTCTTCGAAAGCAAGATGAGGTGCCAAAGAGCTCGAGCACCCGGTGGTGCAGGCGCGTGGAGGTTAAGACCCTTCCGTATCCCATGTCCCAGTGTCCCTCAAGCTGCGGCATCCACCATATACCAATAAGGACGAAGCCTGTAAAACCATCGCCCAGGACTCTTGTGGCATTGGTCATTTCGGTAGCTCATGCTGGCGCAGCATGATTTTCCTGAAATGCCGCTGCCAAATTCCCAAATGTCATATTGATTTAGTTGAGTTTTCTCGATTCGCAGCGAAGGATTTTCGCATGTCATGTGTGAAAAGCTTTCACCAGTCGCGCTGTCCCGCTGGAAGCCGATGCTGCCTACTCAATGGGACCACGCTTCTCTGGAAGTGCTGCATCCTATCTACTCGGAGGAGAGCCTTCTTTTGGGGGCATCGTCTTGGCATCGTTGCACGTCAAGAGTGTCCATAGTGACAGGTCGCACGTGTCGGGGTCGCGATCCTCGTGACGGTCGTCGTTTTGGGATCAGCTCGTCTTTGTGTCCAAGTGTCCTGTCGGATCCCCGTGACGTGCCTTCTGTCGTCGTTCTGCATTCGGGTTTGTCGTTTCGGTTCGTTTGAGCGATCCGTTGAATTCATGCGTAGAGTGTGTAGAGCTGTTACCAAGCAACGTGCGGGCTTATCCCGGCTCAATCACCAACCTAGCCAAGTTGTCGGCTGTCTGTTTGTCAAGAAACTTTGCAGGCTTTGCTTTCTGTGAACCTCCTCGTGCCCCGCTGGTCGCCCACACGCCTCGTGGTGCCGGATGACGGAACTCGGCACTTCCTGCAGGCATCTCGGCCGGGCCGGGCCTGGGGGGCAAGTTGAGTCACGAGCCTTTGTGGTTGCAGCTAGGCAGCCGCATGGTAACCAACCGTGACTGCAGAGCACACATCAGACATAGCAAGAAACAGGAGCCCTAATCGCTTATTGAAACCCCTCTGTTCCGCAGTCTTGAACCCCCCCATCTGCCCCCAAAAAACTCCCTCGTTCGGCCCGGGGGTTCGGCCCAGGGGTTCTTCGCTCCAGGAGTGGATCAACAGCCAGCATGCCAAGCTGTCCTGGCCCTCCAGAGCCGAGTACAACATCCAGGCGGCCCAAAAGGGCCCTGCAACCCCACGCAAAAGAAAACAATCTGCAAAGTTAATCGCAGTTCTGCAGAGCATCATCGTTTGAAGTTTCAAGCTGTATTTGGGGTGCCTTCTCCAGGCCCTGAGCCCCAAACCTCGCCTTACATGCCAAACGTCGGAGGCTTGGAGAGAACGTGGCAGCATCATGCGCAAGCTGGACTTGCTGGCAAAAAAATGGGATCTTGTGCTCGGCAGGCTGCACCCTTTGCCCAAGTTCCACAGTTCAGGATTGAAAAGGTAGTCTAGGGTGAAGCCATTCCTTCAAAGCCTTCCACATTTTTTGATTTTCCACCCAAGCCTTGCAATCTCTCTCCTGTAGATCTCATGGTGCTGCTCGGAGTCCTGCAGTCAAACATGATTGGCCATTGGGAAGCTTTGGCATCGCTGCGCTAGATGGGTTTCAGTGTGCCGCCAGCTGTTCCAGCTTTGAAAAACGTGCAGAAGTTGACTTGCTTCGCCATGCCGGCCACCGTCTTTGGAAGATTGACAAGCCGGGCTCTTAGACGGCACGGTGGTCTCTGGTGGTCTCTGTGCATGGGTGCCTGAGCTCCGGCCGCAGCTGACGCAGCCGAGCTGTGTGTGAGTCCACGGGACAAGAGCAACTGACATGTTCAGAACCCTGTGCCGTTCAGCAGCGCAGCTGTGCGAGAGTGTGCTGGACTGATCCTGAGTGTTGCGTGCACTTCACTTACTTGAGTAAGGGCCTTATCAAACCTTTGGGCATCCTGTTGGGCATGACTCGCGTCCTCTCTGCAGGTGACGAGCCTTGAGGCCACATCGGGGAAGTGCTTCTGCTTACGAGCAGCTGCGCTTGCTTCTGATCGTAGGTCAATAAACATTGCCCTCTTGGACCTCCCAGAACCTCCGATGTGAGAGCCTTGCTTTAGGTTCCTTCCCGCGAGGCCTTGCTCCAAAGCAGAGTTCTTTCAAGAAGAAGGGCGCGGCAGCCTGAGATTTGGCAAGCCTTATGAGCTCCTCGGCTACTTGTGTCATGATATTTCACGAAAGCTAGTCTGTGGGAGCTAGCCGCTAGAGGGGGCGCCTGGACTAAGTGCACCCGAAGGCTCAGGGTCGAACATCTGCTGTGTAATATTTTTCCAAGGAAGCGTTGAAACCATGTTACTACATCTCCAAGCGCACTGTCGAAACCATGGACGGGTGAGCTGCATCTCCAACAGCAGCGTCGGAAACCATGTACGGGTGGGTTTAATGCTCAGGGGATTCTCTGAAAAACTGCGGTTGGGCATTAGATTCTTTGGGGATACTCCGGACTCCGGGTTGCACTCCGGGTTGCACTCCGGGGGCTTCTCCGGGGCAACCTAGGGAAGTTCTAGGGAAACTCTGGGCATTCCAGGGCACTCCAGGGCTTCTCTGGCGATGCTCTGCACGGGTTGGGTACTGCAGGGGTTTGCGGGATGCTCTTAAGCCTGGACACTCCGGGCATTTTCCGGGGATACTCTGGGATGTGTACTCCAGAAATGCTTCGGGGATACTCTGGGTGTTGGGGTTCTCTGGGACTGGGCACTCCAGGCATTCTCTGGGGTTGGTCTTGGGGCCTGGCACTCGACGGATATTTTGCTCCAGGCTTGTCTAGGGGATGCTCTGGCTAGGGATTCTTGCTAAGTAGACCGGCCGTGCACTGGGTAGTCAACGGCAGGTCTCACAATGCTGCTGAACTGCACCAGCTTTCCTTCCTGCCGTCCCCCACAAGTTGGCAGCGTTGGTGCTCACTGCTTCTTTTAGCGTGCACGCAGCTTCGCGATCCTCAAGGGCTTCCGGTCTGGAGGACTGAGGAGACATGAGGAAGCTGAATGCAATCATGCAGGCAAGGCCCTGGGATCACGGCTCTTAGGAGGAGGTGTGGAGGGGGTGGGGGAAGGAGGAAGACTTGCGACACGAGTTGCGTAAGTTTGTCAGGGTGTGTTGAGGGGCGACTTAACATTGTATGGGAATAGCCCTTTGCCACGACGCTAGGTGTCGACAAAGCTCCATGGTAATTAGACACTAAGCTCGATAGCCGAAGTGTATGAACCGGACAGGCTTTGAGGGTTTTTTGGGGGCCGCAGTGGTGACCTCATTCCCTTTTTGAGGGCCTAGAAACAGGGTCTATAGTATTACTAAATGTAAGAACGGTAAAGCCTCCTTATGCCTTCCTGGTGACCTACACTCCTTGGAGGGAATCCGGGAACATGTCCCCAAGCTGCGTTTGCCTTCGGCGAGTTCAGGAGCACCGCTGTCCCCGGGGGCCGCTGTAGGCTATAGGTGCATGTTTTGCATTAGGTGCATATTTTTTTTTGCAGTGCTGGGTCCTACGCAAGAGAAAACACCCGTGCCGCTCAAGACGAGTTGTTTTGTGTCCCTTCGCTTTGTTGTTCGCAGGGTGCGCAGGGGTGCATCGTGTGAAGCTGTAGTCCCTTTGTTTTGGCTTTAGGTCAATCACGATCGCTTCGCAGTGCTTGCGTCGGATGATGGAGGCAGGGTCCTTTCCCGGAGCGCTGGGCATCATGTTTCTCTCCCCCGAATGGTTGGTAGGCCAAACTGGCCCCAGCGCGGCATCAACCAACACAGCAGTGCCCTCGGTCGCAGATGAGGAGCTGGTGCGGCGGCGGGGGTTCGCGTCGCTGAGGTTTGGGACCCGTTGGCCATGGAGATCATGGAGTTCCAGCCCCCTCATCATCCTGCAGCTGGGCTTTCGTTGGCACATGTTGGTGTATTCTACTGTCTTGCAGCGCGCGCAGTGTACTGATAACCAGTGTTAGGCACTTGTGGTCCATGCTATGCCATGCTATGCTCAACCTATTTGAACCTTTCTGACCCTCTTGTTTGTGTCACGACCTCAGTCTGTTGATTCCCTCCCTTCTTGCTTCCTGCCCGTGTTCCCCATTCCTCGCTCCTGCATGCTCTTGCCTTCGCCCTCGTCCTCCTCAGATTCTTTGTGGTCTTTCTTGTGTCTCTCAAGCTGCAATCGAAAAGGTGACGCGGTTGACGGACGTGTCTGAAATCAAGCATGGCCAGCGTGCCGTAGCCTTGGTCTGTCAAGCAACACTTACGATTTGTCCGGGCATGATTTCATCAAGCCAAATGGCTACGTCGCGGGAAGCCCGCAGAGCCACCTCTATAATGCTCCCATGATATGCCCAATATCTGGGCAAAGCCGCAAGCCGAGAAATGGAAGGTGTTCTGCGCTGTCCTGGCTGCCTTTGGGTCCGTCGGCAGCACGTAACGGCTGCATATAGCGGATCCGTGCCTGATTGTTGGAGATTGGAAGCGGTTCCTCCGCAGCTTAGGACATGCCAAGAGAAAGGACGAATCAGAGCCTTCTATGGCATCATTGAGGCCATGGAGCTTCCAGTCTGGACGTCCTCTATTGAATCACTGCGTTGGCCAGGGCGCGGTGAAAACTCGTGTTCAACGGCAATGCTAGGGCCTCACTTTGTTCCCTGCGCGGGAGCCACTTGCCACCCACTACCTGGACAGAGGCGATGCTCGTGACCAAGAGGAGAAGGAGGAGGCCCTGAATCTTGCACCAAACATGCTTGTGGATGCAAGCGAGACGCGGCCAGGGTACCACGCCACTCGACTTTTCTGTGGCGAAGTTGGCCCCGCACTGACCTTGGTAGAGACGAAGCACTTGCACTGTTCAGACGTAATTGTGCCTGCCGTGCAGAGGCGTTTCAAGAAGCAGGTGGCGCCGGCCTCAGGTTTGGTGAGTCACATGAGTTCAGAGCCCTGCGGCTACCAGTTTCATCATCTTGGGGCAGGTTGTAAAGACACATGTTGTTAGCCAGGTTCTTTCCACGCCCCAAAATGGTGGTGCAGAAGAGGCTTGGGTACTGCGTGTTGAACTTCCTGGCGGCTCGCGCCTTGCGTTTGCCAGCTAGGAGCTGCCGGAGTTGCCATCGTTGCTCAGAGGGCGCAAGGTGGGCAGGTAGGACAATTGAAGGTTTCCAGATTTTAAGAGTTTTAGGGTCATCAGTGCAGTGTTGTGTGTGTGTGTGTGTATTTGTTTGTTGAGCGCTTTCCCAGGCGCGGCAGAACATTGATCGACAAGTACCACAGCCCATCGAGGTGCCCCCTGCCATTGCCCCAGCTTTCCAGAGCGCGGTGTGTCCACTCGTCTGTCGAATAACGGCGACTGTGCTGGAAGATCGGGGGGAGGTGAAAAAGCACGGGAAGTTCCAGTGTCCTCGAGCCGGCTGGGCGCTCAACACGAGACTCTGTTTTTGAAGGTCGCGGTGGGGTGCTGCCTTTTTTTTGCATTAATGTGGCATGTACACTCTTAGGGTCACATCACCGGTTCTTAATGTAGAGGAAGAACCTTACCGAGCTCCCAGCGATTCCTTGACCGGTGGGTCAAAGGCTGCATGCCTCCACTACTTCTGAGGGTGCCACGGAACAAGCCCACCACTGCGTATGAGGGTAGCACAAAGCCTAAAGATATGGGCCTACACAACTTTGGCCACAATATTGGGGCAGATGTGGAAGAACCTTATTAACGAAGCATCTGTAACAGCTTCATTGCGGTGCAACACCTGGCAAATCATGGAGTTTGAGGAAGGGTGAAAGTTGTCAGGGACACATTGCTGTGCATATCTCGTCGAGCAGATGCATATCTCCGTGAGCACCTGCGCCGTTCCATGTCGCCTGGCAGTTGATGTCGGCAGCTCGTGCCATCCTCCGAACGAGGAAACTACAAGCGGGTAGGTTAAGTCGTATCTTCTTGTGCAAAGTCGTATCTCGGGCGCGTGCACACTGGGGATTCGCGACTTCCAAGATTGGCCAGAACCCACATGCACCCCCAAGCAGAAATCTCATTCACGCCGACAAAAATGTGCTCCCCTTCCAGGCGTGCGGTGACAAGTGCATGTTTTTCACGCGTGTCGAGAACATGCGCGTGCGGCCCGTGCACATCGGGGGAATGGCTTCAACATATGTCTCTGTGATGCGACTTTACGCGGGGTGATGTGACTTCGCTCGCAGCCACGTGTCACAGGGGAGATGTGACTTCACACGCAAAGATGTGACTTAGCCTACCCGCTTGTAGGCCCACTAAATGCAGACTTGTCTGCTCCCTGAACATCAATCTCAAAGCCCAAGATGAGTCCAGCTTCTGTAGCGTTTGGGTGGAAGTATCAAGCTTAAACTAATTGTAGCTGGCTGGACCCTGATTCTTACGAGCCAAAATAGGTGGCACAAAACAGACGTGTGAGCCAGCGCGTGAGGCCAAATAGTGGGGCCTCGACGACCTGAAAAAAAGTTTGGCGGGCGCGCCACTGCCGGCTTCGACTGAGGGCGCAGTGCAGCCAAATTTCCAGTGCCACTGACCTACCGGTTCTCAGAAAAAAACAGAAGTCACAAGTTGAACTAGCGCCATTCTTTTTTTCATGGGCTGTTTGCAGGGTATTCTGGCAGCCATGGCTGCAGCAATCCCTGTTTCGCCTTTGACAGGGCGAAGTACCCCTAGAGCGCGCGCGCGCGAAGAATGACGAAGAACCAGTAAGTCCTGTAAGTTACTGCCACCGAATTTGAAGGCATTGTCCAGGAGATTTCAGTTTGAAGGTTGGGGCATCTGACGCTGATGGCAAGTTGTTCGGTCAGGTTTTGCAGGCTGTATAGGCCTCAAACTAGCCATCATTTTCTGTTCAGAGGTTGCCATCATTTTAGGTTCAGAGCCGAACGTCAATGATCCATGTCGGTTCCCCACGACCGACCCATAGCCCTTGTACTTAAGCTTACTGCCCATCTCTGTCCACTAGTGTGCGTATGGCCGCTATAAGAATTACACGGTTTTGCGGGGCAACAAGTGGTCAGGGTTGATGCCGTGATGCTTCGTGTAGAAAACTCATGGGTTTTTCAAAGGCCTCCTAAAGTGCAGATCTGGAAGAAGCCCGGAGCCTCTTGTCTTCGGGCTTCATGCCCAAGGCCCCTCAAACCCAAAGCAAAGAGCTTGAATTGGACAACTTAGTGAATGAGTGGCCTGTCGAACCTGTAGACCGAGCGTCGTCTGGATCCACAGCGTGGTTTGCCCAGCTATATGCGAGCGGAAAACCTCGCTTAGCTCCCGGGAGCCGGTACCAGAAAGTGCCGGAAAGGATGTTTCACGCCGCAGGAAACGAAGAAAATGTTGGCTTTGGAGAAAATGGCTGCATAGGTTCATGCATTGCACAAGAACAGCTTCACGGAGCAATAACAGCTTCACGGAGCAATAATACGGCCAGCGCCGTCAATACCGAAGCAGGTCTTGACCCGCACGAGTGCTGCGTTACCTTGGCGGACGTTGATTCTTGATGGGTTTGTGTACTGCTGGGTGCAACCAGGAATGAGCTGTGGTGAGGCTTCTTTGCTTACTTGTTTCGGCCTGCTTGCTGCTTGCCTCTCGCCCGATCCGGTGCTCAGCAGAATAATTGCAGCGCAGAATATAAAATTGACATGATTCTCAGGATGCCCATGCCCAGCACGGAGGTGGTCTTTATGGTCGCGGTTTCTAGGCGGTTCGCCATAGTGTTTAGGTCACACGTAAGTCGACTGAAGGCTCGCTTCAAGCTCGTCCATGATGTTCCCCGCAAGCTGTGGCAGCCCTTTGATTGCTGTGCAACCCCTTGCCAAAGTGCAGGGTCCTTGCAGAGTCGGACACGCTCGAGAGACCTCCCTGCAAGAGCCACGACCGTGGCTTTGGGCTCCGGTCACATTGGCCCTTGCTGCAGGTGCCAGGCGGAGCATTGCCCGTTACGCTGAGCCCGACAGGCTCAGCTCGGGTGTGGAGCTGCAGGGCACCAAGGCACTGAGCTCGCCAGCAACTATTCCAAACTCATCCCCAAATTACATATTGCCCGCCACTTTGCCCCCTTCTCAACAAAGTGACCCGAAGGTGGTGGTGACGGGCGGCTCGCGCGGCATCGGCCTGGCCACCGCGCGGCTGATGCTGTCACTGGGCGCGGATGTTGTGATCTGCGCGCGGGGGACAGAGGAGCTTGCAGCCGCACAGCGGCAGATGCCCCGAAGTGAGCACTGCCAGGCCATCCCTGCCGATCTCTCCACCCAAGCAGGTGTTGCGGCCTTGGTGGACCAACTGCCTTGGTCTGAGCTGGATGTTTTGGTGAACAACTGTGGAATCAACATTCGCAAGAGGGCGGAGGAGTTCGGGGATGAGGAGTTCGAGAAGATCTTCAACAGCAACTTCATGAGCTGCATGCGGCTCTCTATGGCAGCCCTGCCATTGCTTCAGAAGGCACGAGGAGGGATTGACCATGATTGATCCACTGATTTCATGAGGAGCCTTCTCATGCCTTGGAATCCCAGGCGGGCCAGAAAGGCAGAACAGGAGGCGCGGCTATCGTGAATCTCACCTGACCCTTGCTTACCGCGGCTTCGTGTTGCGTAGGCTCCCGGATGCTTAACGTGTTCCAGGTTAATATGCGCAAAAATAGGTTTTATTGACAGAAATCTGTTGGAAGAGGTGTGAAGCCACTGTCGCCCCTCAAACAAGACACGTTGCGGGTCTTGACGGTGAGTTTTTCTAGTCTACGGCTTTGCCGTTGAATGTTTTGGGCCATTGGGCGTTTGAAGGTGAACAGGGGGAGGCATATGGGGCCGAAGCGTCCTGCGACAAACCCTTCTAGGAGAGCCATGTGGGATCCGACTTGAGCTTATGTCAACCAAGATGCAGAAGGAAGCGGATTGAATGTGATCGGATCCTAGGACCTAGGGATCAGACGGAGCCCACACCATTTCAAGCCCTAGATTGCACGGTACATTGCACGGTTATCCTCGCTGACGACTGCTGCGATGTTTGCCGAGGAATGTCTCCTCGGTAGCTGGATCTGGCCATATACCTTCTGGACTCTCGGTCAGAAGTTCCTTTGACCCCTGGGCCCTTGGGTTGGGTTCTTGTTGTCATGCTGCTCTGGGCGCAGGGGAAACCGGACACCCGGCAGAATAGTAGCAGATGCACAAGACGGTTCCATTGTGTTGACATGTAAAGCGTGCCCTAACGGGACATGCGATAGATGAAACTTGCGCAGTCCCGTGCAAAATGTGCGAAATCCAAATGCGAAAACACTACACAAGCTCATTCAAAAGAAGGCCTCACAGAGCCTGTGCATACCTAACCCAAGAAGTCCGAGTTCCTTCTGCGGCAGCGCATTATGAAGAGGCTGTGGCCGGAGTGAAGGTGCGCGCGAAGGTTGGCCTAAGTTTGTGCGTAGTTTTTGTTCGCGAGAACCGGTACATCTGCGGCACACCATATTTCTTGACAGGTCCCTTGTCTTGCGCATGACCTGCTAGCAATGTGGGCTCTCCAAAGCACTCTTCATGCGAATCCCACATCTCGACCATCCCAATGCAAAACTTCCAGTGCGCTATGTCAGCTAGATCAGCCTGCATGTAGACTCACAGAGCGAGCGGGTGTGAGGGCGAGGGTAGCAAGGGCGCTTGAATTGGTTTGTTGTAGTCATCGGTGTTCGCGGTGTTTGCTGGTATTTGCACAACGAAACTCGGAACACCGTACCGTAGTTCAGTGACAGAACAAGGACCGTCAAAACGACAAGATGTGTCCAACCTCCGAAAGCTTCAAAACGAAACGCGAAAAAACTTCCCCCACACCGCAAATCTGCATTCAGGATTCCCCTATGCAGCGTCCAAAGCGGCCGCTTGCCTTTCAATCCTTGAGGAGGGGCTGTCGAGGGCTTGAAGACCTGAAGCCACCCGAGTCCGCACTCAACAGCCCCAAGAGCCTCCAGAAGCACAGGGCCTGGAGGCCAAACTTCAGAAGGCGCTCTCAAACAACCTAGGATGTGGTTGCAAGGGCCTGCAGCCAAGGCGATGAACCAGATGACACGGAGCCTGGCCTTCGCTTGCGTACCAGGGTTTGGGCTACTTTCAACGACCTTCCAGGGCCTGAGCCAGCTTCCAAATGATGTCACTAGGTGCTTGCAAAGATGTGTTGAGGAATCTGGCCGTGGAATGGGCGCGCTTCCGCATCCGCGTGAATGCCGTGGCGCCCGGAGCCATCGCCACGCCGCTTGTGGCGAAGGCCTCCAGCAACAGCCATCGATAGTTATAAGTCCAAGCACAAAGTGCTTCTACGACTCTCAGCCTACTATTCAGAGTAGCCAACCACTCCCCCCCCACCCGCCAAGCCCCAAGCCTTTAAACCTTGTAAAGAAGCAGAGACGAGAGGCCAACCCCACGTACATCGAAGACTTCCAGCGCCGGAAGCCGTTGAGGCGCTTGGGCGATGTCATGGAGGCGCACCCACACACACAGACAATAGGGGCGAGTTCCGGGATTTTGTTTAGTTTAGACCTGTTTTGGTCTGGTTGAAGTTGAGGGCTAAGGGGCTTGGGGTGGGAACTTTCTGATGTTGGGTTGGCTAGGGGGGGAGCTTCGCCCACTCGCCACATACGTCTTTTGCAGCCCAGAGCTAAAATCCCCACACAGGCCCCCCCCCCCCCAATCTACAGAAAGAGCCTGGAAAGAGACTTGAAAGGAGAGATTCCTTGCACAGGTGGCAAGGCCCATCGCCTTTCTGGCTAGCGATGCTGCGGCCTTCATCACTGGCCAGACGCCCCCTGACTCTTCCTGACTCTTGGGAGTAGAGGCTTCAGGATGGTCCCCTGTGCGTGTGACACACGACAGTGTGGGTGTGTGGGCGAAATCCTCGTAGTTTGCTCGGGTGCAAGGTGCGCGAGACCTAGCTGGGGTTCTGCGGAGGCGTTCCAACGTTGACTTGCCGAAGGTTTGGGGCCTTTGTGTATGTGGGAGGTTCCAGGAGTCTTTATTGAGCCCATCCGGAGCGCATCTTTGTGAAATGCCGACTGAGTTTCAGGCTGCATGTGGATGGCGGCTTCACTGCAACGAGCTTCAATGAACTCCCGGACTATTGGGACGACTGAGCCGGCAAGACGCGCCAGCTCTATGGCTCTATGGGCCTGAGCTTTCTTTCGTACTGCGGCCAAAACGAAAAGATTACTGTATTACCTAGCTGACCAAGCGGCTTTCGTAGATTCTCGCAGGCTTTCGCTTCGCGTGCTCCCGCAGCTCTCATCTTCTCAGTTGCTCGACGTCCTGCGGGACCATGACTAGGTCCGAGAGCAAGAAAGTTGACCATTGACATGTCATGATGTGACACCTTCGCTGACCGCTAACTTCGCTTCCTGGCTCGGGGAAACGGAAAGACAGGGGCTGCTCGAGAACTGGCCGTTTGCCAGCAGCCCATGTAGTGAGCCGACCCGTCGAGTCGTGAGGGCATAGCCATGTCGAAGAAGTCGCGACAAAGAATTTTGCTAGTCATGCAGTTGGCTGTGGATGTGAATTCCTGTAGTTACCTGGGCCAGATCTGAACTTCAGTTCGAAGTTTGCGGAGGTCACGTGCCCAACACGACCTGGCTGTAGCCTACACCAGCCCACACCATTCTGCACCCTACCGAAGACCAACAACCATACGCGAGACAGCAACAAAACGTTGCTTTGACCAGTTTCACCCCCGAAGACAGGCCGGGACCTGACTCATGTTTCCGATGAGTGCTTAAAGCATGTTCCGGGCGCTTGAGATTTCCAGATTTTCTTCTTCGGGTGTGAGGTTCCATGTGCCCCAACCTTAGCTTCGGGCACCCTCTAGAAAACCTTCATGGTCGACGAGGACGAGTTTTGACCTTCCCATGTCTCTGGCGCTGTGGTGTTTGGCAGGCCCTTCCCTGAAGCAAAGTCAATGGCTCCGAGCAAGTCGTCCAACACCCAGCAGCTGCGCAGGTCTGCTTCTTTTTTTGGGGGAGGTCTTTGGGATGTCTGAGATTCAAGGATCTCTGGCAGTTCTCAGCAATCCTCAGATCCCGAAGGCTGGAAGCCTGAAACTTGAGTTCTATTTTAAGCCTTAGAGGCCGGGAGGCGGCCCATTAAGCTGAATCTCTAGATGTCTGGCTCTTTAATGCAGACCGAAGCCTCTGGAGCTGTGTACTGGCCAGAGCTTTGACGAAAAGCCACCTCTCATCTGTTCAATGCGAAAGCAATCTGCAGCCTGCAGCAATTTCTTCTGAGCCAGCCGAATTTGATCATCACCCCACTATTGTTCTGACAGGACCCCCTTGTACAAACATACATACTTATATCAAATATCATACATCATATATAATATACTATACTACAATATAATATAATATACTACACTGTAATATAATACAATTTCATATAGCATAAAATAATAGAACAATATATGTATATAGATGGATGGATAGATAGATAGATATGTGTATATATATATATATAGGTGTGCATATATATATGTATATATATATGAGCCCGGAACCTTTAGGGTTTATTTAGCATAGAGTTTTTCTTTTCGCTTTAAATACGGAATATAAACAATTTAGTATGTAAGTGTATATTTATACTTTTGTAGGAACCATAAGTTCTACTTGAGAGTCAACTTCGCCTTGTGTCTGTGGATACCATTACTGTTGATGCTTGTGTTTTAGACAAGTCGCACATCTAACTTATTTATCCGTTTGGATGCAACAAAACGATCAACCCTCCACACCGGTGTTGCATATCTTAAATGCACTTGTTTTCTGCAGCTTTCTTTGTTTTCATCTGCGGCTTGTTCACTTATTAGTGTTTGTGATCTTTATAATGCTGATGCGATGGCAATAGTATGCTTACTGGTGTTCCTAGCATTGGAAGCACAACTAACATTATGAACATATTATGACTTATGTGAGTACTATTGGTAATGTTCGCAATATAAGTACTAGTCCTAGCGCGAGCTGTCAATATAAGCAAAAAGCATGGCGTGTTGTGCGGAACATTCGAAGTCGAGGATTACTTGTGCTAAGCATAAGTTAGACACATCTTATGCTCCCAATTTGACAGTTCGTGACTTCAATATCACCAAATAACATTGCAGTGCGTTGGCAGGATTGCTAATTAACACTAACATCACGACAATCCTAATCATCCTAATCTTGCTGGTAGTGCATATGTCTTTTGACAAGTCTACTACGAAACTGCACTATCTGTCGAGATTAGCCATATGACTAGTGCGAGTACTATTAATGTTCCACACTCTTTAGTAGGGGCCTCCTGAACAAAGTCAAAAATGGCCGGGCTGTTCAGGACACTCCGAGTGTTTGGGTTTGGGGGCGCGCGTTGGGATCTTGAATAAAGGCAAACCGTCCGGGCGCCGTAAGAAAATTCCACGCGGCGCGCCTTTAAAGGATTGCTGGGCATCGCTGCCCTGTAAACTTATCCTAACTCCTCTCTAATAAATTCATATATATCCCGTGGACAGTGTAAACAGGAACAAGAAAGGGGGAGGGGGGCAGGTCTAAAGAGGGTGCAACATCAGTGTTGTCAGCAATGTTTTTTAGCCCACCACTGGGAAACTCAACAATGTCACTAACAATAGTACCATAGCGTCATTAGCCCCTGTGGCATAATTAGTCCGATAAGATTATAATATGAGATCAATTAGTAATATGATTAATGCGAGTAACATGAGTGCTAGCAAGCCTAATACAATTTATGACACTAGTAAGCTTGGTAATGTTGTAACTGGAATTGCAATTTCTTGTCATTTACTTTTAGTTATGCTATTGATCATGCTAGTAAGCTAATACGCCTACTATACCGAACATTGCTGAATATAATACTAGTATCACGCTACTGATATTAGTAGTATTGGGACCATTCCTATAAACATGAAGAAAGGTTTACTTCTTGAGCTGCATTTTAGCTGCAGGATGGTTTGCGGTTAGTACTCCAGTGACTCTTTGGGCATAGTTTGGTCTTGTGCGCTCTAGGGACTTTACGAGGATACTCTACGGCTGCGCGCTTCAGCGATTCTGGAATACTCTAGCACAAGCCTTCCAGGGCTTTTCCGGTGATCCTTTCGGCTTATTTTGGAAGACTTTGGGTTTTGGTATTCTAGAGACTCTTTCGGGCAACCGTGCAAACCAATGAGTGATTTAGAAACCAAGTAAACTCATAATTTTTCTAGAAGTACGTGGTGCAGGGAACTTTGTGGCCCACGCCGCAGAGCGATAGTGATAACAGCAAGAAATCACTCGGGGGCTCTCTATGACATCAATGAGTGTTGTAGGAACCAAGTAAATTTCGTCACACAAACACATGGTGTAGGTCATTTGTTGACCGACACCACATAGGAACAGTGAGAAGACTATGAAATAACTAGGCCACCGTATATTAAATCAGTATGTGGTGTGGAACCAGGTAAATTTACGAGCACATGGTGTAGGGAATGCTGTGGCATACGCCACATAGGGATAGTAGAAAAACTCAAGAAATCACTGGGAAACTGTATATGATATCAATGAGTGTTGCGAGAACCAAGTACATATTTTTATACAAGCACATGGTGTAGGGAGCGTTGTGACCCACAATACGTAGGAACTGAATCACTGGGCAACCGTACATTAAATCAATAGGAACTAAGAATTTTTGCTTGTGCAAGCAAAGAACAATGAGAAAACCATTTAGTCACCAGGCAACGGTATAAAGTAATGAATCCGCATAACAATATCACCATGTTTACTGTTCATATCAATAGCGTTCTTAGCAGTGCTGGCATTGCTCATGTTCATTATATTTTGTGTTAGCGCGATCCGAAAGCAAGGCCCTTGCAAGGACGCTGTGACTTTTCCTCGATACCATACGAGTACTATGCTGATACTACACGAATACTTTACCGCTGCCAGACTAGGTACCAGCACCAAGACCAAGACCAATAATAGTACTAACACGAATGCTAAAACTACAAGAAACTCTATACTACACTACACTATACAAAATAGCCGGGACATAGCCGGGACTTTTGGGGTCTCTTTCGTTGCGTTTGTTTCATTCCTATCAAACGCTCGTATATGTATATTGTCAAAAAACTTTAAAGTTGCACATGCCGAATAATCCGACGTCCTATTTTATCTTGTCTTTTGGACTTGCATTGTTGTTTTTGGCTTTCGCTTTGCTTTGTTTTCTTTGCGTGCTGCTTGCCTACATTTAAAATGCGGTTTGCTCATGGATCCATGACACGAGCAAAAAATCCTACACTGCTATTCTGAAAACGAATTCGTGGTTTTGTGGTCATGATAACTGTTCACGTTGCTGTTCTTGCACGCTGCTTGCCTATGTCTTTTCGAACTTGTGTTCTTCATTTATCTATAACACTTGGATCGATGAGGGGCGCTGGCAAGCTAAACAGCGAAAACACTCCGCCCGAGTTTCATTTCATGGGTTCGCGTTGCAGCTTCAGACTTTTACCCATTCGTGCCAACCCACAGCCCGAAAACACCCAGCACCTAGCCCTCCAGCATTAAACAAAACACATGAGCGAAATGGACCGAAAGGCTGCTCGTTCATATATATATATATATAATGTTTTTACTTCCTAGTCTATATGTGCTCAATTACGTAATTTCATTGAGACAGTAGCGCACGTGCCTTTGCCATTTGACATTTTGGATAGGTTCTTACAACAAAACATTTGTGGACTCTGCTTGCGACTTGTCAATTGTTGATATATTCCGTAGCAACTAACGGGGACACTGCTGGCGATCTGTGATTTTGGGACATCTTCTTTCAACAAAAAAACTACGGGGGACACTGCTTGCGATTTGTGAATTCAGAAGAAAACTAAGGGGGGACACTGCTTGCGATTTGTGATTTTGGCATATATACTTTCAGGATTAAACTTATTGGGGACACTGCTTGCGATTTGTGATTTTGGGACATCTTCTTGCAGCATAAAAACTAAGGGGGACACTGCTTGCGATTTATGAGTTTGGATAGTTCTTCATTCAGCAAAAAAAAATGGGGAACACGGCTTGCGATTTGTGATTTTAGCACATACTCTTTCAGCAAGAAAACTGAGGGTGACACTGTTTGCGATTTAGGAGTTTGGATAGTTCTTCATTCAGCAAAAACTATTGGGGACATCGCTTGCGATTTGTGTTTTTGGAATTCTTTCAACAAAATCTCATGGGGACGTATCCATTACATTCCGTAACAAACTAAGGGGGACACTACTTGCGATTTGTGATTGTGGGACATCCTCTTCTTGCAGCAAAAACAAACTAAGGGGGACACTGCTTGCGATTTGTAACTTTGGAGAATACTCCTTCAACAAAAACTATATATGGGGGACACTGCTTGCGATTTGTGATTTTGGGACATCTTCTTTCAGGGGACACTGCTTGCCATTTGCGAGTTTGGCACATACTCTTGTAGAAAAAACTAAGAGGGACACTGCTTGCGACTTGGTTTTGGTACATAGGCTTAGAGGAAAAATATGGGGCACGCCGGGCACACTGCTTGCGATTTGTGACTTGGGACCATTTTCCTTACAGTAAAAAAATAAGGGTGACACTGCTTGCGATTTGTGAATTTGGGATATATTCTTTCAGCAAAAAGGACTATGGGTGGACACTGCTTGGGATTTGTGATTTGGGGGGCATCTTCTTGCAGCAACAAAAACTAAGCGGGGACCCTGCTTGCGATTTGTGATTTTGGGACATCTTCTTTCAGCAAAAACCAAGGGGGACACTGCTTGCGGTTTTTGATTTTGGGGCATCTTCTTGCAGCAAAAAAATTAGGGGGACACTGCTTGCGATTTAGGAGTTTGGATAGTTCTTCATTCAGCAAAAAACTATGGGGGACGCTGCTTGCGATTTGTGATTTTGGAATTCTATCAACAAATTCTCATGGGGACACTGCTT